GTGTGAATAGTCAGTGACCCATTGTGTCGTGGATGTTGATATCACCCAGCATGATAAGTTTGATTGTAGAATCATGTTAAATATGATGTATCGTGGGCAGGAGAGGAGTGTTAGAAGAGCCATAGACACGAGAGAAATGTTTTGACGGCACAGGTAGAGGAAGAGTGTTTGTATCAGTAGTCATCGTGAAGGGAAAAGTTCGTGATTATGGTGAGAGAAAAAAAATAGATTTTACATACCAGCAGAGACCACCACCACCACCACCACCACCACCAGGAAAGGTGAGGCGAGATGATAGGGACGTCGAGGGAACTGGAGTCTATGTAAGGAGCAAAAAATCAGAACTAGTTGCTTGTAAATGTAGGAGAACAGCGTGATAGTTGGTGCACCATCTGGGAAAGTTGTTTTAATTAATTATAGAAGATGGTTGGGGAAGTTTATTGGTGATTATTAATTAAGTACAAGTACACCCGATCGTGATGTGACGCTGACGACCTGTGGTGCACCGAGAAGACCCATGATTGACCAGTGGTGAGGGGGCTGCTGTGTGTGGGTGAGGGCTAGAGGCTGCCGTGTGTGGGTGAGGGCTAGAGGCTGCCGTGTGTGGGTGAGGGCTAGGAGGCTGCCGTGTGAGGGTCGTCAGGTCAAACACAGCCTCCAGGTCAAGTCTGGTCTGGTCCGCTCCAACCTTCCTCTCCTGGCTGGTGTTTTTGTGTGGCCAGTTTTCTCTTCGTCAAGCAAACATTTGGAATTTCTATGTAAGAGACGAAGTACATTTAAGGTTAGGTTAGGTCAGGTTAGGAAAGGGTGATTGAGGGTAGCCGCGTGAAATAGGCGTAATGTTACATTACCCTAAGTACTGTTTGTATATCAACATTCCTAACTGTAATGACGATATCATCCAAAACTTTATCAACATCATTAACATCACCATCATCATCAATAACACTGATAATGTCACATCAATATCAGTTATAATCACCACCAATCATCCTTAACATCAACAACAATATTGACATTATTATATCAGCATTAGTCCTCATCAATATTAACAATACCGGTTACATTACATCATCATTACCACCATCAAAACAACACTGACATTATCACAACTTAAATAAATTCTATTATCACACAACATCAGCACCAGGATCATCGTTAAAGCTGTTAAGAATTGTTTGATCAATATCGCTGATGGCCAGGAGCAGCACTGACGTAAAATGGGTAACGAAACTTAGAAGAGCGGCATCAAGGCCCTGTTTTCGGTGAGGCGCGGAGGAGCAACCTGAGGCTCCCAACAAAAACAAAATGTACCTGTAGATGCCTGGAGCGCTGTAACGGGTCGTGTGCCGCATCACCTTCACCGCTATATTGGCTTTCCCCATCGACTGACTGGGTGACCTTGGAGCCCAGAGCCGTGATCTTGTAGTCATTACCATAACTGTGTCGAAATCTATTAAAAAAAACTGAATTACAAAAACACAAGTGAGAAACTGCGCCTCGGGGAAGGTTCTCAAGGATATTAGGTCACTTAGAGAGGTGACTGCAGCTTCCTCAGGTGGTCGTGACTGAAGATCATTATTATTATCCCAACTTATACTTTTTTCCTTTTTTATCTTATACTTAAATTTGTTTGGAGGGTTTTAAACCTAAATATTTAAACTGGAGAATATTTACAGTTTATGTTATGGATTTGTAACGAATGGGCTTTTATTATTCCTGTACACGGTCACCCTCTGTTATATAAAGGATTCTTGCAAACAATTCCTCACAACATTATAACACTATTACACCATAACTCAAAATCAATTTATACTAAAGAACATAAATGTGGCATCCAGGACCGCTCGGTTGATGACGACAACAAAACTCACGGGGGGGGGGGGTCATGGTTATGTTGGGCCGCACCAAAAAACTCTGTCCAATACGACACACGACTCATAAGTACTTCCTCACTTCAGGGGGGCTACTTGCTGGTCCCTCTGGCCCTGAGAGAGGAAGTGAGGAAGTAACCATGTGGCCCCGTCAAGCACCTGCATGTTAGTCTCACTCGCCAACGTGGCCATGAGGCTCGTGGAGGTAGTTCCTGCTTCGCCACCCACCCCCAACTCTCCTGACTCAAGCGCAATATTGTCTCCTGTTACAGTACCTTCCATCCTTATGCTTTATTCTAGACAGTCACTGTTTCTTCCTCCTCCTCTCACTCTGACTCTCCTTCACGACCTTCATCTTGACCAAAGTAAAGCTAGAAGTGTGTCTTGAGATGTTCCCTGCAACTGTAAGTCTATAAACTTTCACTTATACTGACTTACCTTTTGAGATATCACCTGTGTATGTGTGTGTATATATAATGTGTATTTAGGTGTCAATACGTATAGTGGTATATAAACAAATGATGTTTTAAGTAATAGTATAAATAATGTTTTTTTAAAGTCACAGAGTAGCTTTCGTTTGTTGTAACAGATTTGTATATTTAGATCATTTAAATACTGCAATTACATTCCTGGCCGTGATTCCATCTTACTTTTTGTAATTCTAAAATGTCCTTCTGTAACTTTTTCTTCCGCTTTGTTCCATCTCCCACACACTGTTCTCACACTCCAGGTTCGTATTTTGAGCTTTCTGGGTTATTATTTCATATTTTATTTAAGACAGTACTTGGTCGCTCTTAATGCCACACTGCCCACCAACACGGGAGGGAGGTAACGCCGCTCAACCTTCAGTGGTGATCACCCAGCTGGACATTCTTCAGTAGGAGAATTAGTGAGATCTAAAGGTGCCACATTATATTACAACAGAGAAGTGACTGTCTACCTTCGTTATTTATGGTATATTGTGACATAAACTAACCTAGCACGTTAACTTATTATTTACAATGAATTACAGTGAAATATTGAGAATGTTAAGTAAGATTCACTGTGATTACCTGAACTAGTTGCTCTCCATACCTGTCTTGTTCTACTTTTCTCAGTATTTTTCCGATGTGAAGTTTCTGTACACCATGAGCCAGCGTGTACCAACTTTCTCACTGGAAATTGTATGAATCATGAAATATGTATTCACTTGGAATTTCATGTTTTAGATATTAACTACACAGATTGATATACTGAAGACCATAAGTCGAAGTAGATGATAAATCCGGTAGTTGATATTCAGTGAAGTATGAAGTTTATAACACAAACACATATGGTTGATGTCAAGGCAAACTTCTCCTATCATCAGTACAAGAAGAATGTGTCGCATGATAATAAAGTTAACTGTGTGTGTGTGTGTGTGTGTGTGTGTGTGTGTGTGTGTGTGTGTGATTTTAGAAAACATTTCATTCGCCACATTAAACACAATTGTGGAGATGCAAATGTTTAGTAGTGTTGAGGTTTGCATAGCTTGAGTGAGACAGGATGAAGAGAGCACCGAGAACTACAGACACTGCGGGCTTTCCACACGGCCCCCGGCAACACACCACTGAACCTACACGTCAATTAGAAAGACCAATGTTTGTCAGGAAAGTCCGGCAGTGCTTAAATTCATCCAGGATTTCCCACAACGCCTCAATAACCTGTACAACTGGTGCTTGCATGGCCCCAGCACCTTGACTTTGGCGGAGTGAATCTTCTTGACTGTGGGTGTTGTGGAGGGGAGCCGGACCTAGCCATATACGGCTCCGACTCCAGCACCACCACACCCACTGACACCTGTTGACCCACGCATACACACGCCCCTGGTGTTACTGGTTCAGTCACCGACCTGTGATTCACACCTTTGTTTGATCCATCAAATATGACCAACAATAACTGTAATAATAATAATAATAATATTGGTAATAATAATGAAAGAATTGTGATTTTTGGCTGCCATAAATAGTGTTTACGTCTCCTGTACTCATATCAATTACAGTAGCTTCAACAAATAGTATCGTGCCGCCTTTGTACCCCGTGTTGACAGATGGAGACCAAAGGTGCCTGTTGGAGGCGATCAAGGAAGAAACTTTGTCCGAAGTGGAGTCTTCATAGATGATGTGGGTGAAGGTGACGAGGACAGCCGGCAGGTGGTGTGGTAGGCGGTGTGGTGGTGAGGCAGGTAGATAGTGGTGTGGTGGTGGTGGTGGTGGTGAGGCAGGTAGATAGTGGGGTGGTGGTGGTGGTGGTGGTGGTGAGGCAGGTAGATAGTGGGGTGGTGGTGGTGGTGGTGGTGGTGAGGCAGGTAGATAGTGGCGGTGGTGGTGAGGCGGTGGTGGTGGTGGTGAGGCAGGTAGATAGGGGTGGGTGGGGGTGGTGGTGGTGGGAGGCAGGTAGATAGTGGGGTGGTAGTGGTGAGGCAGGTAGATAGGGTAGTGGTGGTGGTGGTGGCAGGTAGTAGTGGTGGTGGTGGTGAGGCAGGTAGATAGTGGTGGTGGTGGGAGGCGTGGTGGCGGTGGTGGTGGTGGTAGGTGTGTGGGGTGGTAGTGGTGGTGGTGGGAGGCAGGTGATAGTGGGGTGGTGGGTGGTGGTGGTGGTGGAGGCAGGTAGATAGTGGGGTGGTAGTGGTGGTGGTGGTGAGGCAGGTAGATAGTGGGGTGGTGGGGTGGTGGTGAGGCAGGTAGATAGTGGGGTGGTAGTGGTGAGGCAGGTAGATAGTGGGGTGGTGGTGGTGGTGGTGGGGAGGTAGATAGTGGGGTGGTAGTGGTGAGGCAGGTAGATAGTGGGGTGGTGGTGGTGAGGCAGGTAGATAGTGGGGTGGTGGTGGTGGTGAGGCAGGTAGATAGGTGGTGGTGGTGGTGGTGAGGCAGGTAGATAGGGGGTGGTGGTGGTGGTGGTGGGAGGCAGGTAGATAGTGGGGTGGGTGGTGGTGGTGGTGAGGCAGGTAGATAGTGGGGTGGTGGTGGTGGTGGTGGTGAGGCAGGTAGATAGTGGGGTGGTGGTGGTGGTGGTGGTGGTGAGGCAGGTCGATACCGGGGTGGTGGTGGTGGTGGTGGTGGTGGTGGTAGTAGTGGTGTAGGGGCGGCAAGGTTATAGGGAGGTGGGGCCCAGTATATAAAGGACCGGGGAGGTGTGTTGGGTGCACACTTCCTCTCTCCCAGCCACTAGGTAGGTAACAGTCTACACGTCCGTCCGTCCCACTAGGGTTGAGCCATCCTAACATGAGGTGAATTGTTTGTGACCCTGTGAAGTGAAGTGATATATTCCAAGTTTAGGTTACCTAAACTTTATGCGTTACTAAGCGTTGTTACTGGAGATCAAAATCGGATTTATTATGTAGCTGTTCTTGTCGAGTCCTCTGTGTGGCTTCAGTACCTACAATGTGGGCAAAGTTGTAGCAAGACATGGAACGAGTGAAATAACATGGGTGAAAGTGATACTGGCTGCCCGTACCCTTACTACGATCTTCACTACTTAATGTTAACCTTATGTATGGTTAACATTTGGTCCTCAACTTTTCTAAAAACTTCTAAAAAAAAATCACTATTGTAGGAAGAAAGATTCCGTCTTAAAAAATGGTACTGATTCTACTTACAGAATTTCCATCCTAGCTTTAAGCCTCCCTCTTGACATACATACATCCCTTAACAATTTCATGACAGACTAGGACACATTCTCTGGCATATACACAACTCAGTTCTGTTCATGGTAGGCACGAAAAACATCTCCTGGGAGACAAAAAAAACATCGACCCCTGCTGACAGCCGCTCCATGACGCCCAGTTACTGGTGGTAGTTGTGTTCAGTGGTCTGCCACACACTTTCATGGAAACTTAGCCTGCAGCCAAAAACGATTTCACTAAATAGCTGAAGTGAACCTAGAAGCTTACTGTGTCTGTCTCCCACTTTGTCTGTACTTGTGTGTGTGTGTGTCCACTGAGGGTTTAACTGCTCAAGTTGTTCAGGGTGTATGTACTGTACAGTCAGGGTCATAAGTTCGTGTGCAGCAGTGAAACTGTATCACGGGAACTTACTGTACATACTCTGGTGCGAGTGGACGGTTTTATCTCAATTAGGGTGGAACTGCTGCACACGAACTTTTGACCCTGATGTACAGTATATGTACAGTCAACAAAATAATGTCTTCACCCTGGGTCAGACCGCCTTCGTAACGATCACCGACTGTGGCTATATTTAGTTGGTAAGGTTGGTAGTTCTGATTATGTGATTCTTTGTGTAACCAGTACGATGTATTCTGTATATCACGTATAGTTAATAGAGTACAGAGAAATTAACAGGAATACATATAAAATCAGTGTTGTTCAGAATTCTTGGTCAGGTATGTACAGTTAAGGTGCAGAAAATTTTGTTGTTGACTGTACGTGTTTCCTTAATTAGTATTCTGTACCTCCAGCCTGTGACTTCCTTATAACCGTCTTGAAGACTCGTGCCAATTATATTTTACAGCATCAACCTTTGTACCATACAGACGTGTTTTGTCCTGCAGTCAACACACTCACTCTGTATAGTGTTTACGAGTCATTTGCTGCCCGAAGGTTACCGAACCCTTGTTCCTACGTTCCTTTGCATATTCACACGCTATATCAATGAGAGTGAAAGCAAATTTACTAACCCAGTGAGTGGGGAGAGTGAGAGGCGAAGAGGTGTATGACAAACCGACTAAGCAAAGGTCTGAATGGACAGTTAGGCTGAGTGAGAGTGTGAGGCAACCAGCAGCGTGACGAGTCAAGCCAACGGGGCTTTGAGAGTGAGAGTAGCCTGTTGAAATATAGCACTATAAATAGACGGTAATATTTACATAATGTGCAGAGAACGTAAATTTTTGCGGTGGTGAGACTTAGTTGGTATGGGCGGCAGCCCCGACCAGACGTTCCTACTGTCCCCAGGCTATGTGGGGGATAGCAGAAGGTAGAAGGAGAGGAGGGGTACCAGACCTGGCAGCTGACAGTTATATTTATTATACAGTTGGTAGTCTGTTTAAGGTATTTTACCTTTCTCATACACTTTTAACTTTCTAGAAATACATACTTTAAAAAGTCTTCATATATTAATTTGCAATCAACAATATTCATCGTGGCTGTAGTACAAGCAACCAAGATAACAAGAACCAGTATGTAGCGAGACTGATCAAACTTAATGCTAACATCGTATTGAGAACAGCTCATTTTAATGATTAATCTTTTAACCCGCATTATTTTGTATTGATGAACAAGAAGCTAACTATAAATTCCTGCACGTGAGAGACAGGGAACCGCGACATGTTGCATCAACACGTGTAAAGTAACCTTGATACTTTCTAGTTTCATTACGTAGCGCGAACTCGTGTAGGTGATGACACTACATGAAGATGAAACAGCAGGTTCCGGTAGGTTAGTCTCGACAGGCGCAGGGTGAGTTGCTGGTGACCGTGTGGGCTCTCTCTCTCTCTCTCTCTCTCTCTCTCTCTCTCTCTCTCTCTCTCTCTCCAATAGCTGAAACAATACTATCTTTCGGCACTGTACAGCTGCCCTCCCACACTCACACTTTCTTCACTTAGATCGCTACGTAATCCTGTTGAAGTCTCTTCATCAAATTCTTTCATGAATTTTGTGATGAGTCGATGAATCATTTTCTTAATGACTTCATTTTGAGGGATGTGTAATGCGTTTGTTACTGAATTGGAATTATATATATATATATATATATATATATATATATATATATATATATATATATATATATATATATATATATATATATATATATATATACGTATATATATATGTGTGTGTGTGTGAGTGTGAGAATAGGCCTAATAATACTCTTCATTTAATATAGACTTATCAATGAGAGTACCTGATTTGTGTGTGTGTGTGATTCTCTCCCATTTACTCACACATAACAAGTTTATAAGTTAATATTCCACGTATCAGGCGGTTCTTTGTAGTTATTCCATTAATAAAGGCCATATCCTATTCTCTTTCATGTGCTCCTGGCAGAATGCGCCTCTTGCTGGTGTTCGCAGTGGTTGTAGCTGCAGCTGCAGCTCAAATCAATCAAAGAAGACCCGGCCAAACTAACAATCGCGTGCATAACAACCAAAGACCACACAATCAACAACCCCAGAATCAACAACAACCCCCACAAAAGGCAGACAGTCAAAAAGGCACACTCCTGTCCCTCCCTGAACCCCAACTCTGTGCTTCCCGTAAGTGTAACTGCATCATGTTATCAGTATGGAGCGAGACCCACTCCACTATAATCACAGGTCCAGCCTTAACTCTCACCGCCAATCACCAATCAACTTGGCGCGTGAGACACTATAAGGATGGATCCACATCAACGCAACATTGTTGGTAACATGTTGCTTAAAATATGCCTTTATTGCTAGAAAGAAATGTGACTTAATCACTTATTTCACATCAGTCAGTTTACTTGACATTTCTGTTGGCGACAATGTTGCAAACCTTTTCGCGTAATTTTCACAGCATTATTAATAACGCAGTTACCAACACAGGTTACCGACAACGAAGGGTTTGTATTGATCCACCTTTACTGTACTGTACTGTATATCATCCCCCGAAACTTTGATAAGGAGGAAAAAAGTATGGCGATGTTGATGGTGGTTGTCACAACAGTCGGTGTTGGAACTGTTTGTAACCAACTGCAGTAAGTAGTGCAAGAGAAAAATTTCAACAAATGACCTCTGCGGTGTACCTCACCTAACCTAACTCCTCTCCCCCAGGACCTAAGCAGTGGAATTTCAACGGACACAATTACTTCTTCTCGTGGGACAATGAGGGAGAAGGTTTCTACGAGCTCGCAGGAGAAACCCAAGGCAGAAAGGTAAACTGGTTGGAAGCTCGTAACGAATGTCGACGCCGCTGTATGGACGCCGTCAGCATGGAGACAGAAGCCGAGAACAACATGATATTCCAGTTCATACAAGACCGTAAGTAACACACAGGTATACTGTCTTGTCTTATTCTGCTTATATATTTATCAGGATAATTCACAAGTATATAAAATATATAGTTTAAAAACAGTCTCCTATTCTAAGAATGTTATAAGCTTTTACAAGGTACACTGAGTGTTTACTTTTTCAGGTAACCTCTCTTACATCTGGACATCTGGTCGCCTGTGTGACTTCACTGGGTGTTCTGAACGAAAAGACCTTCATCCTATCAACATTTATGGTTGGTTCTGGTCCAACACCAACACCAAGATGGCCCCCACTAACTCCACTCCCCCTGGCTGGGCCGCTCAGCCGTGGAGCCCCGCGGGCCACACTGGCGGACCCCAGCCTGACAACGCTGAGTATGATATCAACCAGACGTCCGAGTCCTGCCTGGGCGTCCTAAATAATATTTACAAAGATGGCATTAAGTGGCACGATATTGCGTGCTACCACAAGAAGCCATTTGTGTGTGAAGACAGTGATGCCCTTCTGGACTATGTTAAAGGAACCAACCCAACTATCATTTTGTAAGCTGCTGACAGCGATACTCCATTGTTTACCTTGTCACGAGAGACACACGGCAATGTAACGATTAATCAAAAACTAAGAAACGACAGCCAAATTCAAAAGACCGAATTGAAGCGTTTTTAAATAACTATTCCAAACTATGTAAAATTTACTGCAACTTATTAATGTCACTCTGTTAGGTTTAGTGAACCTAAGCTTCACCGCCAGTGAGAAATTTATCAACGTGATGTATTTTGTGGCTGTATGACAACTAGAGTAATACAGTAGCTTGTAACTTACAATCCATACAAAGCTTTTGGAGATATATGTCTGTCAGTTGCATGTGCCATTCACAAAATTTTGTATTTATCGAAAAAAGGTAATATATATATATATATATATATATATATATATATATATATATATATATATATATATATATATATATATATACGGTATAGCCCAAAAGTGAAGAGAGTGACTTGGTGACAATCTACAGAGCCTTTTCACCTAATGGATGATGAATTCATCAAGTGATTAAAACCCATCTACTGTACAGTAGTAGATTACGCTTTCATCTAGTAGGTGACGCTATCAACTAGTAGGTGAAACATTAATAAGGTGGTTGTTCCATAAGACCAATGTTGTTGAAGTAGTTTGCTCTTCTTTACTGTCCTGAACACTAGTATTTATTATGTGATACAATACAATATTACTATAATTATGTTGTGTACAATAAAACAAGTTATATATCACCATTTTATAATCCAGACTAGAGGAAAGATACAACAGCGTAACACCCGTCTCCACGTCGCCTTTATTTTAACAACACCGAGCGTTCATTACCTGGGTGTAGTTCACCTGTACAGTATCAATGGACCATGATTCATTTAATGAAATACAAACTGACAGCCAATTCTAATCTCTGGTCAAATTTAAGAACAAGTGAGAAGACGCAGTTTATATATGTGTAATATGCACACTGGGACGGTAGCTACATGTAGGCCCAGTTGTTAGTAAAGAAGCTCCACTTATTTTAGAAGAAAAAACAAGTTTTCTGACTAAGGTTAAGGGATGCTAAAACATTAACAGTTATAACAAGAAAACGCATCCACACATTGATCAAAGTATGTACAGTCGGCCACAAGAATAAGTATAAACCTACGGTCATGTTTGAGACAAAATATCTGGTGTTTATATTACAAGTAATATATTGTATCCAATGGTAGTAAACTTGTTGCCGAATGGGATTGCAGTTTTTACGGGCGTTAGCCCACCCGGGCACAGGCCATTTTATGACCCACATCAAGGTCTGGTGGGCGAAAATATAATAATAATAATAATAATAATAATAATAATAATAATAATAATAATAATAATAATAATAATAGAGCCATAAATAAATATAAAAATTAACAAAAATATCAATAGTGAGAACTGATGTGTACTGTATGTTATGTTTTCAACTTTTACTTTTTCCTCTTCACCACTGATCGGCTCGTTAGCCACTTGGGCGATCGGTCACGTCTCTGATTACTTTTCCTTTTCTTTTATCCTCTCCACCAAATGATCGGTTCGTTAGCTGAGTTTCATCATGCGTCTGGATGCACAGTTTCAACGTTACCAGATCATTTTCGAACCTTACAGCTACAGTGTGTATACTTATTCTTGTGGCCGACTGTACAATATATGATGAAAATATTTAAGAAGCTGATAACATATTGTGTAGCTGGGAATTGATCGTAATATTTACAGTTGTTTCAAGCGACAAAGGTACATAGGTTACTTTTCATCCTCCCGTGTGTCTAGGATAACGCAAAGATATAGCAAAGGATTTTAACCAAACTCTGATCAAGTAAGGCATATGAGAATAAGATCTCAAACAACCAAGAAAATCAACAATTTGCCTTAACTGTCTAGAGTTGTGAGCATCTCGAACTTTGTTGTGGCGCGGCAGGGAATTTGGCCACCATTTGAGACATCTTTATCACTGTGTTGCAAGAATAAATATCATGGAAGTGATGAAAGCAGGTAATGAGTAATAAACAGTTCAGATTGTACATTTGTCTGAAAAAAAGCATGCCGGAAATGCTGTTTTCATATCTGAAAAAAAAGCGAAATGTTGTATAAAATGTGTAGGCTACTCCTGTAATATCATCTACACGGTAGACTGCACGTAATGAATATTAAACGAATAACAAAAGCGTTCTATTGGATAAATCTGAATTATTTATAATGTACAGTCTCGTTCAAGATCCTTCGAACACTGCTGGAGACAGCTGGCAACTCAAGGCCGTTTGTTTACTATAGTATGCAGTACAAATTAGAAATGAATGTAAAGGTGATCGGTGATTGGCTCATTAGTTCCCTGTTACTTAATTAATGGTTGGCTTTTTGTTTTGTTTCGTATTATATTATCCTTCATACTATAGTGAACAAACGTCCTTGAGTTGCCACCTGTCTCCAGCAGTGTTCGAAGGATCTTGAACGAGACTGCATACATGCACTAAGTAATTCTAACATATGTTTATAGTCCCTAAAAAACACGAAATTCATAAATCAACGCAGAAATTCCTAATTGTAAGGAAATATTGTTTAAAACAATGCTTTAGCCATACCTGCAATTCATGTATGTAAACAGTAGTTGATTATTATTATGCTCTAATATAAACTTTCATAATATATGTGATGTGATACTTGGTTGGGACGGTTGCAATCTATCATAACTAGTGATGTGCATAAAAAGATTGATAAGGGGTTACTAATTGAAAATTCCAAATACAAAAGATAACATTTCTTGAAGCCAGCTGCGACTGCGACACCCAGAATCTGATGCAAGCGAACTAGAAATGTTATGATATTTTCTCAAATAAATCAGGATTATTTTCTATAGTTAAAGATAAATTATGTGTTATATTTGACAATTTTCATTCACCAAAGGTAAAGGAACCCTATTGTGTTGAGCTTCAACTAGAACCGGAGAGTTATTATATAATGTGAAAAATGTGTTTCGGTTTTCAATTCCTCGTCAATTAACCGGTTTTCATCACAGTTTGCACATAAAAAATGGATAGAAAACTTTCTCTAAAGCCAACATAAACACGAATAACATTTCACTAAAGTACTTTGGTCAACCACACACACGCCAGCAGTAGCAACGCTTTAGTAACTTTGTAACCTTTGGATAATGTTTTTTTTTCATATTTATGTGACGTCATAGCGTTTATGCCGCATTCCTGATTGGTCCATTTCTGAAGCATTATTGACGTAGTGGTGTTTTTGTTTAGGTACGATACACCTGTTGGTTATGCGCCAAGTTGTGTGGTAAAATACACCCCTTGCCCGTCTATAGGTAGTAGGTAGTAAGCAGCTACCAAACAGGGAGGTACTACTGCCTGGGAAGATATTGGAAGCATAATGTGTTGTCTAATGGTAGACCCTGCTGCTATATGTGACGAAGTCCCAGGTTGCTGATCTGACTTTCTGCCTCAGTTACACACAATTGCAGGGTCTCAATTGTTTCTCTTACTTTGACAACACAACATACATATATTGTTTCTCACTCTTGATTTTTTCACTTTTGCATTTCTTTATGGTTCTTTATTATTATTATTTTTATTATTATTATTATTAGTATTAGTAGTAGTAGTAGTAGTAGTAGAAGTAGTAGTAGTAGTAGTCAAAATTCACTTAAGCTCACGGCAGCCCTCACGGACCACATAATAGCCCAGAACGCAACAGGGGAGGTGGACACCAGTAAAGTAAACAAGAATCGTAGGTCCATTACGACAGAAAGACAGCTCTGCCAAAGTGATAAGCTGCAGCAACTGTTGCCGCAGGTACCAGAAAATCTGAAAAAAAAAGTAGCTATAGCACAGGAGGTGGGCGCCTCGAACTGGTTAACTACATTCCCGATAAGGGCAAATGGTTTCAGTCTCAATAAACAAGAATTTACAGATGCCATTGCTCTAAAGTACAGTTGGCCAGTAGAAAGTTTGCCCTCCCAATGCTTGTGTGGCTCTTCCTATGACGTCAATCACGCCATGGTGTGCAAGAAAGGGGGCTTCATATGCATGAGGCATGACGAAGTAAGGGACCTCACAGCAAATATGTTGAAGGAAATCTGCCAGGATGTCATGGTAGAACCGACCCTCCTTCCTTTGGATGGTGAGATCTTCCAACATAGGACTTCAAACACATCTAACGAAGCCCGTGTTGACGTCAGTGCTCGAGGATTCTGGACGCGGGGACAGCAAGCTTTCTTCGACATCAGGATTTTTTATCCCATGGCCGCATGTCACCATAACCTAGCTCTCGATGCTGCACATAGGAGGAACGAGAACGACAAGATAAGGGCATATGGGGAGAGAATTCAAAACGTTGACCAAGGCAGCTTCACTCCTCTAGTGTTCACAACCTCTGGTGGGATGGGACAAAGTGCAAGATGTTTCTACGCCAGACTCGCGGAGGTGATCTCCGAACAGAAGCAGCAGCCCAGAAGTTATGTTACAGCCTGGATGAGATGTCGACTGTCCTTCTCTCTCCTTCGGTTGGCTTTGCTCTGCCTCAGGGGAACGAGAGCTTATGCCCCTACTCCGACAACTGCTGCAGATATTGACTATGAGGCTACAGTCACTGAATGCCGCATAGATCTGCGGCTCAACTAATTCAACACAGATAGGATAGCTACTCTTGTATTAGGATATTCAATATTAAGGTAATAAAATGGCGGCGAAGGTGTGGCTATTGGGGGAGGCTGGAGGCCACGTTAAAAAAAAAAAAAAGACGCTCGCCCCACAAGGGGTCACAGCTTAAGGTTGAAGGGCCACAAGTCCAGAAAACTGTGAGGACAAACTTTTTCGGATTATGAATTGTAAACACTTAGAACAACCTGCCAGAGTGTTGTGACGGCACCGAGTGTGAGCTCTTTCAAGACCAGACTTGACCAACACTGGAGCAGGTTCAGGTATATTCGGGAGCCGGTACATGCCCAGTACTTGCCAACAGAGCATGACAGAGACGTGACCGACCGCCCAAGCGGCTAACGAGCCGATCAGTGGTGAAGAAGATAAAGGTAAAAGTAAATTAATACCAGTGAAAATAAACGCCCGGAAAGATGAACACCAGTAAGGGTGAACGCCAGTGAAAATAAAACCCCATTGAAAATGAATGCTGCTAAAGATGAACGCCAGTAATGATGAACACCAGTGAAAATAAACGCCAGTGAAAATGAACGCTACTGAAGATGAACGCCAGTAAAGATGAACGCCAGTGAAAATAAACGCCAGTGAAATTAAACGCCAGTGAAAATGAATGTCATTAAAGATGAACGCCAGTGGAAATGTCGCTCGTAAAGGCGAACGTCAGGGAAAGTAAACGTCAGGGAAAATCCTCGCCAGTAAAGATAAACGTCAGTGAAAATAAACGCTAGTAGATATGAACGCTAGTAAGGGCTGGAGCTGGCAGACGCTCGCCGGTGACAGTTCAAGATTGATGTGAGGGCAAACTTTTACAGAGTGAGAGTTATGAACTCTTGGAACAATCTGCCAGTAAGTTCATCCAAGACCTAGTACTGGCGAACAGAGACGTGGCCGACCGCCCAAGAGGCTAACGAACCTATCAGTGGCGAAGAAGATAAAGGAAAAAGTAAAAAGTAATAAACAAATCGTCAAAGCTAAGGTTCATAAAAGAGTCCCTGCAGCCTACCCTGTCATGGTGCATCCAAGAGTACTGAAGAGAGTAGTTCAACGAGCTTGCTGAGCCCCTTTAGGTCCTGCTATGTAAAGAAGATAAAAAAATAACAGCGAATACGATAAGTTATCCCTGCCATAGGAGTTTGATAGGATGTTAAGAGAGCGTCGGAACTCTGAACCAGTCGCTCTTGTAGCAGCAGAGGCGGATCCAGGAATATCAAAAGGGGGGGGTGGTGCATGGCGAGCAAAGCGAGCATTTTGAGACCATTTTGAAGCCATGTGCACCTGATATTAGGAGATATTTTGATTTCAGTAGTAATTACTTTTTACTATACAAAAATGCCCGAGTACAATATTTCATTAAAGAATAAGTATTGTTGTTTTCTGATGAAAAGGGGGGTCCGGACCCCATGGACCCCTTTGAGCAGAGGAAGGAGGGTGTTGCCTGTGCAATAGGGGGTGTAAGCCAACAAATATTCGTAGAGAGTTAACAGTTAATTATGTATTAAACCAGCATTAGGTGGAATCCACTGAAAATGTGTATTAAGGAAATTCTCACAAGGTATTTCTGTTAAAAAAATAATGGGTTAAGTCAATACTTGAAGACAATAAAAAACAATGCACTCACACACACACACACACACATATATATATATATATATATATATATATATATATATATATATATATATATATATATATATATATATATATATATATATATATATATATATATATATATATATGAGTACATTGTTTTGTTACACCGATGGCGAGTTGCAAGAGACCAAAACAATTATGCAACTGAACGAAATTCATAAACCCTGATAGACTGTGACTCATTTATGCTACTGTACCTAATTCTCTTCATTTGTAAGTATAACAGACTTCAGAGTAGAGAGTATACATTTATGCGTAATGTATTTCAACAAATTTCTGTTTATGTAAAGATGAATTAACGACTATCACATTTCCTGCACTGGTGTGTACTAAACAATGTGCTAAAGAATGTTAGTGTGTGAAGGGCGCGAGGTGGAGTAGGTCAGATGCCTCAAGGTGAACTGTGGGGTAATGAAACTGTTTTAGTGGTCATACTTTATTGGTAACTCACTGATCAACCAACAACATACTGACGTTTCTATGTTGAGAAGATAGACAAAGTAAAGCAGGGTGTGTTTAAAATAGATGTGTACAGTTTATAGATTGAGGAATGTGTGCTCCTGGTGTTTGGTGTACAGTACTCCATTATGAGGTCCAGCTACATCACACTGGATGAATAGGTAGGACAGGGAACGGTAAATATTCGAAAGAGGTCGACCATGGACTCTAATAACAAAAATAGAGGTAATAGTGGAGCAGTCATTAGCACCCGAAGACATTTGTATAAGGCAGTGGATATATTGCTGTGATCGGCTAAGTTTCTACTACCGCTATTTTACCGTGAGTGCGCGCTGATTGGCTAATCGTCCGTTACTGGCGAACAACGCGAGAGCGATATGTGACCGTATCTCTGACGGCATTTGACATTTATTTGCCGTGAGTCGATCGTTATGTGGCTATACACATACCTACAGGTAACCAGAAGGAGTTGTTTGATTTTGTTAATTTTTTCCACATGTTCTCATCATTATAAAAGATGCAACATTTACTATGTTAGAACCTACTAGAACCTGACCTAACCAACCAAAGAAACCTACCTAACCATACCTAACTTCCTAGCCAAGGGGCGGACCCCTTGTCATATTAAACAGAAAGTACTTAGCCAATGAACTTGCACTCACGGTAAAATAGCATTATTGGGACTGAGCCGGTCAAGGCAAAATATCCACTATGTTATATAGTTGGTACATTTTCCACACCTGTTGTTTGGAAGATATTAAATAATAAATATGGTAAATTTGTAAAAGTGCCCCCCCTTATCCCCAGTGGGAACTGAGGGTTTGGGGATAGGGAAAATCACAAAAAACTGATTTCTGATAATAATTAATGTCAAAATCGTTCCAAACACTAGGAACTGAAGACTGGTTAAGTCTGTTTTATGGCCTGGCTAAATTGTGGATCACCTGCACAGAAGTTCAAGACCAACAAACTCTTAGCTCTTATCTTTGGCAAGTGACACAACTATTACCTCCTCTTTTAGGAGGTGGAGATGAGTCAAGAGACATCCTATTTTTAGTTTTCTGGAAGGGCCCCTGAACCTTTGGGTCACAAGCCCACAAGCTTGGTGACTTTTGGAGCAGGTGGTAACTTGAGAGAAAAATGTTTTAATTGTCCATCAATAATAAAAAAAAAAAAAATCTGTGCCTAATTTAATGTTTTCCTTTTTTATAGCATAGTCTTCTTCACAAGCTGTAAACATGGCAGTTGATGATGATGGAGATGTGCTACCTGATCGTGATGCAGCAAAAGGATTTTATGCCAAATATGAACCAAAGGAGGTTTTGGGACGAGGCGGCTGTTCAGTTGTACGCCGCTGTATTGGTATGTAATTAAAATAAAATTCATCTGAAATAAGGTTATATATACAGTAAACAATGCCTAGTGTAAGGTAAAGCAACCTTGAGACATAAATAACTACAGTACAATATCATTCTGTATGCATTGAATTCAAATAAACTACCCTCTACTGTATTAAAATATAATACAATAGATTAACATTTGCAGTACAGTATTAGCACATTACTGTACCTTAATTCCTAGTGATGACTTACTAATTTGAAGGGGTGGTAACCTCCAACTCTCCTCCATAATGGTACATGACCACACATTTGCCCATACATAATGCTTCATAAAAATCTATGCTCTCAGATAATTTTAATCAATGGGACTTAAATGTAAAGTTGAATTTATGCATGTGGCATGTTTCATACATACAAATAAAAGTTAGATAGATACAACTCATTTAAGTGTTATTTTGCTTACAGAGAAGGAAACCGGCCAACAATTTGCTGCCAAGATTATAGACTTGAGTGACTCCTCTGATGAGGGAGTGCACGAAGCAACTATTCGTGAAATAGATGTTTTGCGCATGGTGGCTGGGCATCCATACATCAGTAAGTAATGGACCTTATTTTCTATTATACATCTTGTCTGTGTTATTAGCTTTAATTTGTATCAGTTGCCCAATGTATGCAAAAGTTTGTAACGACGGATAGATCATGAAATTCCAATACTATATATAAACCAAGCAGGAATTGGGGGAATCAGACTCCTCTCTCCACCCTTGAGGATTTTGAAGTAATCTGGAACAGGATGGGTTTACTGTGTTTTACTGTTCAACTGTAACCAGTATAAGATGTGGATTGTGAATCATGAATGTTTTGAAGTGACAGTAGTGACTTTCAGCTTTCAGTCTTGCTCAGACTGATATCCACCTTTTTGTAGGAGGCTCTGATTGTATTGGGCAGCATAGATTTTTTTCTCTTTTAAACTGTATGGGGTCCTGGGAATCGTTGGATGTCGAATCATTTATATGTTGAGTATACATAAGTTGTCCAATCCATGCTTGATAATTATCAAATAGAAATTGAAAATCAAACCCTACTTTCAGTCCCTGTTGTGTTTACGGTAATGTGAAAATACAGTACAATACTACTTTGAGCTACAGATTCTAATGAAAGAATTTGAAAATTTGCTCAAACATATTGGGGTTGTTATTAGACTGATGTACTGTAAGATAATTGATATTACTGTAATAGTATTATTTATTTATTTATTTAATTTTTTAATTTTACCATCTTTTGGAACTGATAAGGGACACATTTTTCACTGGCATCTAATTTTTAATATTGTATTTCATAATTTCATGTTTAACTACCACCTCTTGGAGTTGTTTTATGGCCTAAAATGCTATACTGTACTATTTTATGTGATAACCCGGTAACATTCCAATTTGTATGGCTTATTATCCAGAGGCGGGTCCAGAAATATCAAAGGGGGTTCCAAGAAGAAGTTGTGGGTGGGGGAACATGGCGAGTACAGTGAGCTCACCCACTCAACCAGCTGAAGGGTTTGGGGGGCAAAGTGGCCCCACCCCCCTCCTGCCCCGCTGAAAATTTTTTTTAAATCTGACCACTATCGCGGGCATTTTGAGGTCTTGTGCACTTGATGCTAGGAGGTATTCTGAGGTCAATAATGATTACTTTTTACTATACAAAAATGCTTCAGTACAATACTGTATTAAAAAAAATTGGAATTTTCTGGGGGTGGGGGTCTGGACCCCCTGGATCTGCCCTTATTGTCATTATTTTGTTTGATCTCTACACCTATAATTCCACCTATAACAGGATGCATTTCTTTGATGCATATTTCTTTGTTGCATACATACAGTACAGGTACAGTTATAGAGAACTATGAGGTGTGTTATATAAAAACTAATGTATTAATTTACTTTCCAGTTGAACTTCATGATGTATTTGAATCATCAACCTTCATATTCTTGGTTTTTGAACTTTGTGAGCATGGCGAGTTATTTGACCACCTTACAACAGTTGTTACTCTTTCTGAGAAAAAAACTAAGTAAGTACTGGATGATTTATTGTTGTTATCTTTCTAAATTGTACAGTATATCCAAATGATAAAATGTTTTTTCTTGTGAATTCCTTGTTCCACTCTGAAGAAGTGGGTTGGTAATAGGAAGGGCATTTGGCCATAAAATCTACTTCTAATTTGCATGATGGCATCCTTGTCACCAGAGCTGTGTCTTCTCCTGGTATCTAATGCATTTTATGAGTTGGCTTGCTGCCTCTACAGAGTGTACTGAGTGAGCATTTTAACCATCTAATTTCATACATATATGTGCTTGTGTCACATTTTTGGGCCTCAAAAAGTTTCATAAGTAGGAATGCATCTCAACTTTTATAATGGAAGTATATTGGAAAAATGGTTTTGCTTAACGGAATTTCGTTTTACGGAAACATTTTCAGGAACGGAACCATTCTGTAACCCGGAGGATGCCTGTATTGTATCTTGTCATTTGTTTATACTTTTCTCTTAAATTAAGGGATTTTAAATGTATACAAGGACTTAGGCTATGCTATAGTGGGATTTTAAAATGCTCATAGGGTATTTGTTTTGACTTAAGTACATTTTTTACTTAAAGAGCATCTGTAAGAACGGAACTCATATGTAACGGACTGTCTGTACTTTCAATTTGATATCTTAAAATTTTTCTCAATTTCTAGCTTTTTATATTTTTTGGCCATGTAATGTTATTTAGAATTTAATTGGTAGATATGGAACATTCAAGGTTTTTCTGTGTTGGGGAAGAAGGAAGAGAGGTATTGTATTATAACTAATTTGAATTCTTGATAACTAATTGACATCACTTAGGGAAATGACTTAGAAATATGATACAGTCATAGGGTTAAGGTTCATTCCAAATTAAAGTTTCTAGTTTATTATTTTAAAGATGTAATATATTGTTTGATTACCCTTGTTGAAGCAGAATCTCATCCTGTAACGATACTGAAGCAACTACACGTGGCTTGTTAAGCACTGAATGAAAAATGTGAATTGAGAACATCCTCATTCTTAGCAAGTTTTGCCACATGGTTATTTTTTTTAATGGTTTTAAGCCCAAATTTTCACTCGGAGATTTGCAGAAATTTTTGTCCACATTATAGAAAGTATCAATAAAACATTGAGAAAAAGAGAGGCTGGAAGGAACTTTTAATCACTGTTAACTGGCAGTAGTATCAGTATCCAAGTATGTAAAAGCATACTAGTGTAATTTGGAAAGATTGATTAATCACTCTTATAAATTGTATGTACAGTACAGTATATTCTTTTGAAACTTGAGATCACTGCAGTCTCTTGAATTATTTGACTTAGTCGGGGATGTGTGTGACAAGTACTACTGTATGTATATTGTACTCTTTTTTTTTTTCAGATTAATCATGAGGCAGCTTTTTGAGGCGCTTGCTCATGTACACGGTAAAGGCATTGCACATCGAGATCTTAAGCCTGAGAATATTCTTTTAGATGATAACTACAACATCAAGCTCACTGACTTTGGCTTTGCAAAAGTACTGCAACCAGGAGAAACATTAACAGGTGTGTAATACAGTATTAGGTATTTTATTTACAGTACAAGAGTGGTTTAGTTATGGAATACATAGATATTTGTGACTTTGAAGTTTTTAGGTTTGTAGCTCATTATTCCACACAAGTAGAGATATCCTAATGACTTATGGCATGCATGTAGATATATGCTACCATACCAGTAAAGTTGTATTAATATACAGTAGTAAAATTCTCCTCATTCATTTGATACAAAGGGTTAAGTAACTCCCCTTCCCCATGCTATATTGTGTTCAGGCTTCTTTGTTCGCTGGCATCGATGAGCTGTAAGTTATATGTACCGTATGTTTAGATGATAATAAGTACCTTGATTACATGAAACAGGACTCTGGGTTATATAAAGCTTACTCTTTATTGTTTACCTTTAGCTTTCATACAGTGTATATGAATCTTCTTGATGTCTTTACACTTGAGCAAAATGATGCTATACCTATTATTGATCAGGTTGTAGCTGATCATTTTCCTGTATTTGATCAGCAGGTACAGTATATCACATACCGTAATGGTGTAAACACGGTGTTAATTTTATTGCGTTACATACAGTAGTTGTGCCTGACTACCTTGGAACCTCTGTGGGTTAGATTGAAGAATATATGACTACAGTTTTCAGTCCTGTTAGTTACATCACAGACACAAAACCTAACTGCCTGTAGTTGGTGTTGTTTAGTTGGCCAACACCCAAGTTTCATTTGAATTGGGTTAATTTTGATGAAGTGGCAACTCATCCAGAACTGGAGCTCCATCCCAAGATGAAACTGGTGTCTTTCATGTGCATTATGAGATGTTAAGAGGTCTCATTCCTTTCAAAATTGATAGCTTAATTAAATAATGAATAAACTTATCATTAGCTTGTTTTAAATTTTTGTAAATATACAATATTAAATATATTATGTGTATCCTGTAAAAAAAAGTAAAAAAATATGATTAATAATAATAATTATTTATGTTGTGCATGTGCTTCATCTCCCTCCCCCCTCCCAGACACTCTCTCACTCACTCACAGAGAGAGAGAGACTCAGTTTATTGCAATATGAACCTTATTCTGTAGTAAAGTATACATATCAAGGACAAAATATTTATAGAAGAAAAGCTGTAAAAAATAATAATATTTTGTTAAGTAATGGTTGCATAAATTTTGCTGTTCTGATTAGCGCACCTACTGTAGGTGACTACAGATTATTAATTTTTTACTTCTAGGTGCAAAAGACATTTGTACATACTGAATGATGGCACTAGGACTGCTTGTTGAAAGGCCAGACAAACTATCACTTATGCTAGAAGGGCCAGGGACACTGGGAGAGGCATCAGGAGGCACTACGTGGTGCAATCTCCTTGTACTTTTTACGTTCTCCCACCCCTCCACCTTGGCCAGCAATATGAAGCGTGGTTCAAAACTCTCACAACACTGTTATGAATAAATTAAGTCATTGTAATACATGAAAAGTCAGCACAGGTCACGAGAAACTGTGTGGGAAATGTGGGTCAATGTTATATCCTGGGTCCTTTAAACACAAAAGTAAGACTGGTGTGGTGACCTTACAGTGCATTCTACGTAGTTGCCAGTGTGTGCTGACATTGCAAAATGTGCGTCTTGCGTATCTAGCATTCATACGCAGACAAAAAATTATTTAATTTTAATTTTTAACCTCGTACTCAATTTTTACATATGAAAACCCCTAGAATGTTAAGTTGCCCAGTATTAGAGATATATTTCTCTGTATTACAAGAGATACCTGGCTCTGTGTTACAAGAGATACCTGGCTCTGTATTACAAACGATACCTGGCTCTGTATTACAAGAGATACCTGGCTCTGTATTACAAACGATACCTGGCTCTGTATTACAAGAGATACCTGGCTCTGTATTACAAGAGATACCTGGCTCTGTATTACAAGAGATACCTGGCTCTGTATTACAAACGATACCTGGCTCTGTGTTACAAGAGATACCTGGCTCTGTATTACAAGAGATACCTGGCTCTGTATTACAAGAGATACCTGGCTCTGTATTACAAACGATACCTGGCTCTGTATTACAAGAGATACCTGGCTCTGTATTACAAGAGATACCTGGCTCTGTATTACAAACGATACCTGGCTCTGTATTACAAGAGATACCTGGCTCTGTATTACAAACGATACCTGGCTCTGTATTACAAGAGATACCTGGCTCTGTATTACAAACGATACCTGGCTCTGTATTACAAGTGTTGCCTGGCTGTGGGCTCTGTAAGAATAAAGGATTTCAGAAGGTAAACTGTGTCAGTGAATTTTCAGGAAAAAAAATCAGTCAGGCCAGTGGACAACACCCATACCAGCCTTCTAAGATTGAGGGATTAAGGTGTAGTTGGAAAAGTAGGTGTTCAGATAGAAATTCATTGTTGTTGCCAATGTGTAACAAGAGGGTTCTGTTATGAGCCATTAGAGAGCTAGTGTCTACACCTGCAATTTGTTTGACTCTTTCATAAAATGGTATTCCGGGATTCAGTTCCCCAATTTTTGTATTTATCCATAATTAAAGGCTATTATATACTGAAAAGTAATGCTATTAAAATGAGGTAAAAGAATATTCTGGTTTGACCTAATTTGTCAGGCTGCTCTTGTTATCGTGCTAGCTAATTTTGGGGCTTTGTCATCACACTAAGCCCCCATTTGATAGCTGAGAGCTAATTTTACAATTGCCCATCCATTTCAATAGAACACTTGCCCCTAGAACAGAGTTTTGAGGCAGTGATAATTTTTAAAGACAGGAAGTCTAATTGAAGCCAAGTTACCCAGACAGTATCTTGCACCACCACTACAGGCTGCTAATGAAACATAGGCAGTTAAAAAGGATGAAATACATTAGGTTAAGCAAACTGAAATGAGAATGGTTTGATGTATGTATATTTTAATGTGATACTAAGAGATAGGAAACCCTTTTCAGAGTTAAGAGGATGGCTGGGTATTGAGAGTGTTGACAAGGTTTTGCTTAAAGGTTGGTTGAGATGATTTGGTCATATGGATGAAAAGATGTGTGAGTTTGAATGTAGAAGGGTGGATAGTTATGGGTAGGACAAGAATGACATGGGGAGAGATAAGAACCTGCCATTAGGTAATCATGGCTAACCCACACAAGCATGGAAAATGCCTGCAATGTGGTAATGATGATAATGATAATTCATCTGGACACTTATGGTTATGGAAATACTGTACTGTACTATATTAGATAAGTGATGGCTATCCAACCTTCTTATATGCATCCACATCTTCTAAACTAACATGCAAGGCTTATGGGATCTTGCAGATGACATCACTCAACCCATCTCTGAGGGACAATGTCACATCCATGGTTCATGGGCCCTGGATTTTTTTTTTTTTATGGAAGTAGTATTTGGATAGCACCATAGAACAGTATATATGGCAAGGGAGAGTTAAAGGGCCGATAATCTTTCTCATCCTGTTCCCTTACACTTGAATTAATCTGAGGTGAGTGTCTGTCTAATCAATGGAAAATATGTGGTATTTAGTCATCACTCTTCTACCTGGCTCTCAGAAGGGAACCGCCTGATTAAGTTCATCAAGCTAGAGAAGATGGATTGTTACTGAAAACCTATTTTGTTGTTGAGCTCCGAGTGTGGTAACTCAGTTACTGGGTCCTCCCTCCTCCCTTGGGTTCCAGGTTAGTCACCAGAAAACTAAAGCAAGATAAAGTGTTGGTCTTGATATGAAACAATGCAGTCAGCAGCAGTGGCACACAATGTTGACTTGGTATATCAGAACCTGTAATATACACAGGTAAATCACTGTAAACAATTTTCACCTCTGGGTTAGAAACCCGACACCCAGAGATTAAAATTGTTTATGTTGACTTGGTAGATTGATTTTAAATAACTCCTGTCTCCAGAGGGCAGCCTCTGCTTTTATTCTTCCTTTTCTGATGGTGGTGTTTTCAACAAGGTTGAATGAATAATTGTAATATCAACCTCCCAGCTGTCCATTGGGCAGGAAAGGAAAGTGAAGAGAACCTAATAGGCATGACTAATTGTTAGGGACGGTGTGGACACAGTACACTGTATACTAAGCCTTCGTTATTCATGGAAGCTGTGTGGCTAGCACTGTACTCGATCACTGTCAGTTCCTCATCTTGTATAGTTAGGTATACATTTACAGCGGGATAAACCGGGAGTGTCCTAGGATTGAAAGAGGGTAAGCACTGTATCTACTTGACTACCACACTCCATATCATCAACATACATGCGGCGTGCCACACAGCTCAGAGGCCCAGCGACCTGGTATACACATCTGGAACACCACTTACAGCCAGTGGTGAAGGCCAGGCAAGCAAATGATGCCTCTTTAACAGCAGGAGCCAGTGACCAAGGAGCCCAATGGGAGAATGAGGTGCTTCCTCACTTTTCTTTTGGTCTCCACCCACATACTCGTATTGTTTGGGAATTCAACAGCCAACTATCCTAGCTGGTCAAGAGAATCTGTGCCCACTCTTGCCCAAGCCACCAGGTGCAAAACAGGGTCAAAACACCTCCAGTGTACTGATCCACCACATGGAAGCTCAGCAATAGCCCAACTTTTCACCAATAATAGATTAATAAATTAATTTACAGTGATGAAAAGAAAGACAATGGGCAGCTTGATGACTAAAATCCCCAAATTGAATAACAGTAATTATTGCTGCTGACAGTTTATGGTCTTTGCTGGAAAATAGGATTTCAGGTTCAGTCCACTATACTGTAGTGGAAGTTTGAGATCATAAAGCATGGGAACACTGACCAAAGGAATACTTCTTATGTTGATAAATAAAAACATACAGTAGCTTTTAATGAAAGAAATTGATTACTGTATAATTATGATGGTAGAGATATTGTGAGTGTCTCTTAATGCATTTAAGGTATATACACACCCAGTAACTCATTTGACTTTTGAATTTAGGATTAACATCATGGGTCCAGTTGAATTTATGGTCTGCACACTTTG